TGGGTCTGTAAAACATGTCATCAACCCTCAATATATCTCACTAGGAATCTATGCTTTACACAGGGAAYCCATATCTAACACAGGAAATTCATTGTATAACACAGGGAACCCATATCAAACATACATACCAAGTGGATGAAGCCAGGACACTTGGTTTGTTGTAGTATTCCAATAATAGTGTTTTCCACTGAAAATAGAGCACAATTAATACTGAATATCATTACTTAGTGAGCTTGTTTGTGAATATTCAAATCACATAATCATCATATGTTGCTATCATAGCACAATGTTTTCTGGAAATTTAAATTCATTTAATTTAAATTAAATGTATTTATGTTAATTTATGTATTCTGTRMACGTTTGWCAAAAATTTGGAATGTATTTTCTTYGCTTGTAATTTYRTCRCTTTTTCTTGTTTGTAATGTCATATTTTKGTTTTAGAAAACCTGTAACTGTAAATGTGTTATCCTGCCAACTATAYGACTAGCTGTTTATCAAATCAGAAGCGTTAAAGATGGCTTAGTCACRKAGTTCTTCGTCRCRCACATGTTCAGTGTTTTCACTCTAATATTCGTAACATGCCTTAATCAATTCCATAGCCTGGAAACTGATAGTTCCAAGGACACAACATTATAAATGTTGAAGTTGTAGACTTACTTGCTATAATCAGGCACAAAGTACCATCCAGGTGGGAGTGGAACATGACTGTAGTCCTAACAATGTAAAGGTTGATATTTACATGTATTATTATCATTATTAATTTTTGTTTAATTATCTCTTTATTCTAGATAACTGCTTTAATCACAGGTCATACTTGTCCAATATTCTGGCAAATTTATGCAAGACATTATATTGTATTTTATTGTATTGTATCGTTATCAAAAGTCTTGTATTGTTAACCTATTGGACATAACATATGGACATAACACAATACAGTGCTAATGCATAAATTTATCAGAGTATTGGACGAACGTCTTGCAGGTCACAATAACATTAAATGACTCCTTTGCATGTTTCTTGTGTTGTCTAAAGTAGACACCAGTAATGCCTGCTGCAATTCCTTTAAAAAGGTGCTCAATTGTTTCAACCATGATAATTCACCCATGACTTCTGTCATGAAATTAATAAACATCTGTCTTGCTCTAACTCAAAGGCTTGTCGCAGAAACTAAACTAAAGCACTACATCTTACTTTATTACCTTGATGTGTGGTGCTTGTGTAGGATCAATATTTCCCCATCTTGTACGGCAGTATTCCACGCACTCATGGTGAGGATTGGTTCTGTTTGGACATCCTTTCACTGGCTCATTCTGTGAACTTGTCTGSCCATCTTTCTTTGGCTCTTCAACAGCTTAGCAATGGAAAAAAAAAAACAGCTGTTTTGTGTCATGCACTCAGTACTATTATAATTCGGAGTTTTCAAATTAAATAGGGCAATAATTACGACGTTCTTGCGAAAAAGATTACAGTGCAAATCCAAAAAAAACTTTATAGCTTAAAGCTCAATATTTTTAAAATTGAGCTTCGTTTCCACATTTTCGGGCAATTGTACTCCGTTTAATTATACTACCTTTTGCCACAATTCCTCTTCGCTTGAGTCGAGCTTGCAAGGCGGCAGTCAAAGGCATTTCTTTTCGCAGATGTTTTAAAATTATAAACTTCTTAAAAAGGGTTCAGAAAGTTAGAAGGTAATGGCCGACTTTCACCTCGGTGTAAACATCATCAAATGGCTGATTCCGCTGGACATAAATACTGCTTGGCAATTTTAAAAARTGGTAACTAGCCCCACTCCCACAGGGGACGGTACTGATTGTAACACATCGCTTGACCGGCGAGTGTAACCCTAGTACCGTCTGATTCTAGTCTAGCTAGCGTTTGAGCAAGCGTCATACTGTTTCCGATTGAGGTAAGAATCGCGAGTATAAGCTCAAGCAAATGAGTTAATGAGTTAAATTTGGCAGATTATTGTCTACATAAATGTGCATGTGTAATATTAT